GGGATGAATTTAAGACAATCCAATATATAATTTTCCTTGCATAGAATCTAATTATGGAGGGTTGTCTTAAATTCAAAGTCAATTTGGATTTGGATAGCTACAGTACTTTGTGCCTTCAAAGACTTTATACTTTAAGGATAAACATGGGTCCCCAATGATGGGCAATAGGAAAAGCACTGGTGAAAGAGAGGAAAGACAAATATTCAACTAGTTTGAATAATATTGCAAATGAATTGAGTATGTCTGCGTGTATTAAGTAGAGGCTATAGAGGAGTACACAAGGAGAAATTAGTAAGAAACAGTTGAAAGTAGTGGATTTTGAGAGAGACTTGAACACCTGAAAAACCTTCATTTTCCTACTGAAGGTTTCCATAAAAGATATTAAGTTGGCCTCAATGCTAGCCTTTTCTGTTGCTTTCCCACTTTTTTAAAATGTGGTTTCAAATAGATCACCTAATGCTAATCTCCACAGTCAGCATTCAGATTGATTCCTTAGATGCCTAAATGGGACTTTGGTAGAGTGTGAATACTCAGGTTTCAAGGTGTGATTCATATAGGCTGTGCACCAACATCTATAAAACACATCAGACACTGTACTTACAGATGTTTAAAAAAACCTAGAAAGCCATACTAAAGCTTCCAAGCCTGTTCTGAAGCAAATTCAGGTAGTAGACCTAACTCCTAAGCTCCATTTCAATTCATATTGTTGCTAGAGGTAGCCCCTCAGCTCACCCTAGGTACCCAGAAGGGCCTCCCATTAGAAGCTCAAAACCTATGCCTAACTCAGACTGACAGAAGAGTCCCCAAACCAGCAAGATATACAATAGACTAAGTGGCTGCATCGAGATGAGTGCGACCATGTGGTATGTAGTACCTCAAACATGTCTGCAATGCTACATGCCGCACATTCAGCTGTTCTCTGCGCTGCAAGGGAGCAGTATGGGGGGGGCGCGGGTTCTTTGACCCCCTGAATATCCTGGGGGGGAAAGAAACAGCACAAATAAAAAGCCAACTAGCTCACATGGGGGCAGCACACGCCACTCAAAACTAGAACCTGGCTGGTCAGAGCCCCACTTCAAGCTGCCAGCCAGACTCTGAGTGGTAGGATCACCACTGCTGCAGCCCCAGGAGGCCCCCAAAATCCCAGGTAAGGCTGCTGGGGCCAGTCCAGTGCTGGCCCCAGCCTCCCTTACCCCACCCAGGGTAACCTGCCATGTGCCAGAAATCGTGTGGCACAGGCATTTCCCAGGGACATCTAGCAGTGGCACACAGTGTCCTGCTATTAGTTGTCCCCCGGGAACCAAACGTCCACTCTCATGTGGTCGCGGCCAGTGTGGGCATTCTACACCCGCCTCCTGCAACTGAAACTGTCCATTGGGCACCCAAAAATGGAAGAGCCATGATGCGAGAAGGAGAGCAAGGTTTCCACAGTCTTGTCATACAATAGTGTATATATGTAACATTATATAGTTACTGCCCTAAAACCCATAAATAAACCTAGCAGCAAGGAACTGGAACCCCATTCTCTTTGTTACAAAGTGTGTGTCATGACCAACTGAGGGGGGTCTACAATCCAGGTCTCCATCTTTCTGGTCAAGTGTTCTAACTGATAGAACACTTTTTCTGTACATCGGATACTTTTGGCACAAAAAGCTGACTAAGCAGGCCACTGTATTTTCTACCCACTTCAGTTTCCAGTAGTAATGTGTACTGTTTTGTAGCGCTTATTGCCTATTCCCAGAAACGCATTGGACACTTTTTTCACTCTGGGAAAAGTTGGGATGGTGGGCATCCAGGGACATACCTGTGTCCAGGATGCCAGGGTGAAGGCCAGATCACTCTAAAGTCCTGACAGCTGCAGGGCTGCAGCTCCACAGAGAAAGGAAGGAAACCACAGTGAAGCCAGGGAAGCTTTAGGGTCCTGGCAGCTATGGGGAAAGGTGTCTCCCAGTGAAGCAGTTAACCCGCTTGCCTACCCATACCCCCAAAACGTGCCATTGAATGCCATACTGACTGAAGAAAAAAACTCCCAGATTGGGGGTGAGGCAGTGGCGGGGAAGAGCTTCTTTTTGCCACATCACTTACCTGCAGGACCTGAGAGCTTCCCTGATGTGATTGTGTGGCTCCCAGGTCCCTCTCTACACAGCTTGAGCCCACAGCTGCTAGACAAACAGCATAGACCCTTCAATTCCACTCCCCCCTACCCCAGCCTCAGTTCCAGCACCCACCAAAATCAGCACTGGGGCTTGTGCCCCCCATCTCCCACTTACAGTTATGCTACTGCCTATTCCAGCACTTTTGTAATAGGGATCAGGGCATAAATACTGGGGGGGGGCTGGCTTGCTTATCCTAATAGTGGCTAATTATGCAGTAAGCAGAATGGGGAACATTCAAAATGTTTCTGTTTCCTTTCTAGTACATTTTAGTGTATTGAAAGGGCATATTTGCTTAATAATTTAATAATAATAATAGATTACCACAATGATTACTGCAAGAGGGTCCATAAGCAAGAAACATGTTCATGCATTTAGCCAGTGACTATCCAGGAACCTGCAGACTTTCAAACTGTGCTGGCCAAAGCCTCTTGCCCTTTGGAGTCAGAACTGGAGATCTGGAAGAAGGAAGATCATCTAGTAATATTATGTTCTTTCCAGAACCCAAAAGAGACCAGAAGAAAACCTTGACACCTTTCTAGTCGGTAACAAAGCTCTCATTGACTTCAGTCAATTCCAGATTTCACCCAGACTCCTTACCCCAAGGACCTTACCAACTAAAGGGACAGTTGTGCAAGCACCTTAATTAACATGGGTGACTCTTTGCATATTCTACACTTCTGGCAGTTTGAGCCCAGCAAAGATATTGCCCTAGATTCTAAATTTACTTAAATATAACATAGTTTTTTCCCCATATAACAATGGGGATGCAAGCTCCTCATCTTACATTCATGTACAAGGAAACCTCATTAAATACATTGTCTGTCGTTAAACAGCTGTCAAAAGCAACATGTGCTCAGTAATGGAAACCAACTTATGAAGCTGATTAAATGCAGCAAACACTAAGCATGGCTATAAAACACATGGCCCATATTGGGCAAACATGCCGATGGGAACCTTTTTTCTTTTTTTGTGGTGCCCTTAAAAAAAAAAAAAAAAAAAAAAAAAAAAGCAGGTGTTCCCTCCACGGGGAACTGACACCAGGCCTGGATGTATTGCAATACCAGGCCGGCACCAAGAAGGCTAGAGCAAGCCCTGACTCCCTCACATGGTGCCAAAAATGATGATAAAATGTTGAGGCATAAGGAAATACAGAGGACCTGAGTGAGGAGTTGCATGATAGAGGGTGGGGTTTAGGGGTGTGAACACAACTAAGTTGCATAAGAAACATGCAGCCAACTAAGCCCAGGGGTGAGGGGGCATGATGCTTTCATAGCAAATAGTATACAAGAGACCCCACACAACAATACTGTATTCAAGTAAGGAGGTAGTTTGGAGCCTCACAGAGTTACAAGAGAGATGCAGGATATGGTTGTAGGGGAAGGGAAGAGTCCAAGATTTAGAAAGACCTTGGAGTCCTTTAGGTGTAACAGTGGGGGGCAGTGCTACACGTGACCTTAGCCAAAAATGCTGGGATGCTGATGGGAATCAACCATAAGGATAGGCTAGAACAGCCCTTATGCATAAGATATATGCTAGTGCCCATAGCACTCAATGCCAACTCTTTCATGTCATGGTGAGCCACTCCACTCTATATCTTTCAACTTCCACCTCACTCCTACAGCTGAGCTCAGCAAAGCCTTTCTTTCCCATTTCCAATGATTCCTGTTTCTTCACCAACCTTAAATGTCTGGCAAACATCACCAAACAGGGCCTCAAGCAGTTTACCTAGACTCCCTCTCTCAGCCTGTCACACATGATTAGTGTGGCCCCACTCTCCATGAGGTGGAGCGAGAGCAGGTTGCTCTGTACCTCATCTACATATACATTTTTGGAAGATCCCAGAACTTGTGACAAAAACACATGGTTCCAGTCATGAGAGCACTTGGATCCTTTGTGGGGGTTATCTGGAGTACACCCACATACTGAGCAGTGCTGAGCTATGGTGGGGGGGTCACTGTGACGTGAAATGATGTTGATTCTGCTGTTGATTCTGCCCAGCCCAATGACTTGTATGGTAAATCATGAGCCTTTTGTCTTGGAACTAATATTATGCATAGTATGTACTATATTTAAATAGATAAAGCGCTGCTCAAAAGTGTGTTTATAGAGTACGTGTGCTGTTTATTTCAAAGTCATTTTTTTCAATTTTGCCCCTCACTTCTGACAGTTGGGGGGAAGAGGGGGGGAACGACTGCAAGGGAAAGAAATTGTGGGGGGGGGGGGGTTGCAGAGGGCGGTCTGACTCCACCAGATCTATTTTCCCTGTTGAAACAGTTGGTGGAAGGGAACAAATTCAAAGCAAACCTCCAAATAATTAGATTCTATATGTGGAAAATTATAAATTCACAAATCTTCCATATATAGAATCTTAATTACTGATGGAGAGTCATCTTGTATTGAGGATTGTCTGATATTTCAATAAATACAGAAATAGTGACAAATAATGTTATTTGGTTTCAATAGTTTGCTACTAAATTTCACTTAGGTGGTAGACAGATGCATATTGAGAGCTTTAACTGTAGTATTATGAGATACATTTAGCACTGGAGTTTAGATCCAGCCACTCATTTTGTTTAAACCCTAGCTTTTGCTGTTCTTTACCTCACTTAAAGCGGTCAAACTATCTTACACATTGCAATTATACAATGATTTATTGCTTATCATTATATGCCAATTCTCCTTCATCAGGTTAACTTGTTTCATCATCTCTTAATGATGGATTGGGTTTCATAATATTTATGGTATTGTATATAAGTGTATATATTGTATATGTAATGATCTCTACTTTACAGAATAAAGAAGTTGACAAGTTGTTTGGCAAACTAGCTTTAAGTTGGGGATAGTTTGGTATCAGATTATTTTCAGGAATCATATACAGTTTATCACAAACTTAAGTCATCAGAAAATAATAATGTTTTAGACAAGAGTTAAACATTAATTAATATATACCAAAAGTTATGGACTTTGAAGAATAAACAGAAGCTGTGAGGGCTTCTAGGTATTTGACATCCAAATCTGTAACAATTCCTGATTTTTTTTTGTTGTTGTTGTCATTTTATATATATGTGTATATATATCCATGTGGTCTGTAGGGCAGTGTGTTGTGTTACAAGTCACTTTTTAAGTTGTTCATTAACTTAGCAAAGGAAGTGAAATTTTTCCCTATTTTCTTGTCATCAATTAATTTCTGGGAAAGGTTAGGAACTTTGTTTTCATGTGATTGATTAGGTTTTTTTTCTTGTACAGTGGTTGAAAGATGTAAAATTATATATGTACGTGTGTTATTTTGCATTTTTATAATTTATTCAGTGAATGTGGAAGATGACAAAACATAATCTTTTGTCATCTTCCTTGATGCATATTTTCCTTTCTAGTGCATACCTAACAATACTTCTTTTAGCTTTCCCCACTCTTTGGCCAGTAGATTAGCTTCTCATTGGCAATAATATATAGTACATTATGAAAGTCAAGAGTTCAAAGAAAGTATTTTATGTCTTCTCCAAGCTGTATGCATTGTCAGAGACAGCCCAAGAGGTTCAGCATTATCTCCCTGCTGAGTGACAAACCTTGATGTTGTGTCTCAGTAATTATCTGGGGTAGGACATTTCTATACGACACGTAGAATAATCAGTCTTGCAGTGTCAACACACCTCGTACTCTATATGGTCTGTTCACATTAGTCTGTAAATCTGTCTAGTGTATTTTAGACTTTTTGTGTATGGGATACCTGTTATAGAGAGTCCAAAAAAGAATTTAAGCACCTGAAATGGGTACCAAAATCCAAAATTGCAATCCAGACATCCCTCGTCACAGGTATGACCTGGACATGGGAGTTCAGGGCTCAGAAGCCAAGGGTTAACAAATATTATATGTCCAGAAACTAAAGCCAGGGGTCACAATACTGCATGTGTCAATCTAAGTCCAGTGTATCACACCTCAGGTCAAGAGGTTCTGTGGTCAAGGTTAGGTGTTAGGGAATCCCATACACAGGATTGGGTAAGCAGGAAGTAAAGTCCAAGGCAGGAAGAAGCCTGGAGCAAAGCTAAAGGCAGGGTAAGAGGGTCCAAAGCAGAGGCAAGATAGGAGTGTGGCAGGGGTTCAGACATGATCCAAACAGCAGCAGAAATACAGGAGTCAGGTAAGGAGATCTGTAACAGGGGTACTCAGAATACTGTTTCAGGGTCAAGACTCTGTAGGAAGTAGGAGGGTTTTATCGCTTGTGGCCCCCACTGGTTCTTCCATGTCACCTGATCCTCTGTTAGGAACTTCCTGGAAGGGCCCAGCCTGAGCTGGAGCAGGTGCATGACTGATCTCCTGGTGATCCAAAAGCCTGGCGCCTCTGCCTGTGGGCACCATGGGTTGGGGTTTGAACTCTGAGAACCCTGACACCCCTGTTCCACAGCTATTGCCCCAGGAAGTTCTTTCC